TCCCGTTTTTGCTCATATCTCGGAGGCAAAATGAGCAAGAACGCTCATTTGTACATCATTCTAGACAGAAATAAATGGCCTTTTTAGAAAGTGAAAACTTTATCGAAAAGGCCTGCATGACTTTTCAGGTATTTGCAACCGTGTCCCAGATTTGTGTAAAAATGTTCAAATATTCACGATTTTTGCGCCTATTTCCTTAGAGGCGGGAATTTTTTTTTATCGCCATGGAGGAAAAGTTTTGCCTCAAAACACCGTATGAAAAGGCCCTTGGATTTCTGGGATATTTTGAACCGTCTCCAAGATATGCAGTATTGTAAAAGCAACATTTACCTTATAACTTTTCAGAGATTGGGGAATTTCAGCAAAAACTCGATCGAAAACAATAGTTTTTTGGATGCTCTATCGAAAAGATCTTAAGCACTGTTCAGCTACTTTCAACCGTTTGCGAGATATGAATGAAAATGCTCATGCAGTCATGATTTTTCGAAAAAATTATAAATTTTCAACATTTTTTCACTCTTTCACTTCGAGACGTTGCTTCTGCCCGTACATCTTACCTTAAAGACAAACTTACCAAAAACCTCCATCTGCCCCCCGCAATTGGGAGTAAGCAACCATTTAAACTTACCTCATAGAACATATAGAGGCTGAGCAAAACCTGAGCCCCATTGTAAACGAAAAGCACTTCTTTGAGCTTGAAGGGCTTCCGATTGGCCATCAGGCGCGGTCCCAACCATAAGATCACATAGAGGTAGGTGAGAACCATCAGAATGGTGGGCACGGGACTTTGAATAAACGGCCAGCTTGAAGTTCGCGGATCTGAAACATTAAGGAAAAATTGGCAAGGAAAACTCACCAGTTTGCACTGGATGGACTTTAAAGCCATCAATCGATTGCAGCATCGATGTTATTGATAATTTAGAACATTTTTAGTGATATGTCAAGGTGATTTTAGCCATAAGGAGGTAGCAAGTGGGGTGACCGCTGAACAGATGGAAAGCGCTCAAAGCCTGCTAATCCGATGCCATTCAAAATTGCACAAGAAATGTTGATCAATGCAAGGAAACAGGATCATAAAACTTGCTAATTAGTCATAAAAAACATGCAACTTACCGCTCAGCTTATCCCAGGTGGTAACTCCAAGATCCACGTATCTTTCTGCCATGAGTCTGGCAAGAAAGGGAAGATCCTGAAATCAAATAGGTCTTCAGTTTCTTCATAGCAAAACGCATGAAAAGGTGGAAAAGATTGTCTCTAAATCATGCCGCTGTTTATTAATATTCTGAAGACTTGTGGTTAAGCAGCATGCATCTCACGAGCAGTTAAACTTATCAGGAAAATCTACACAAGAACGATTTGTTATGATTAGCGATTAGCTCCTTAAAACACCCATCCATCCAAGGTCTAGATCTTCATAAAAGTACGCAAACTAATTATTTTGGGCAACTTTTACGAGCAACTACCTTGCAGATTAAATATGGGGGGTTACCGAATTTTTGCCATCGCACGCTTCTTCTGCTGATTCTCAACCCTCAATTGGTCGAAAAAGGTTCAAATTCCGCCTCATGATGGCTTGTTTAGTGCCGCAAAGGCTCTAAATAAGTAGGGTTAACACAGCCCTCCGTTGGAGCAAGTGTTGCAGCTTTGCCCGTTTTAATCAATAACTTGCGGTTATCAGTTGTTTAATTTGATTGAATTCATTTCCTGGCTCAAGAAGCAATCAAACTTTGCAGAGTTCAAAAACAAGTTTATCGCTCGCTTTAGCCAAAGCGCGAGATTTCGGTTTCGCGAAAAATCTAACCAGTTTGAATCATCTCCAGACTGGTTTGCCGGCATTTTAATGCCTCACTGAGACGTTCTTAACGGAATGGAATTTCCGCTTATGGGCGTATTTGCTAATTCACACCAGCCCATCAGCATAAATTAGAAAAAACCGATATATTTACAAAGTTAAGTACACCAAATTGTGAATTCCAATAGTCTAAAATCACCGTGTGGGCAGAGTTAATTAATAAATCAACCTTGATACAATGTGATAATTGCCAGAGTAAACTTAAAGACTATCAATTATGTTCTAAACTAGCCATTGATAACCACCAGGGATTTTTCAATCAATTTTTCTTCTAAGGCGAGTGTAAGACTGGGTTTGCCATGAAAAATAGTTTTCATTGAACCCCGGTATATTCGGGGGCCATGACAAGGATAGGGTGGTTTCCATGGTTATTGATGTGGTGGTTTCACTCCTATGCATGGCAGCGAAAATAGCTCCCATCGGTTTTGATGGTCGGTTTTACTACGGGGGCGAGTTTAAATGGAAAGGCAGTGCAAAGGAAACCGCAGTTTGGAAAAACAGCAGAAATGCGCCCTGAATGAGCCTGTTAGTTAAAAATGTGCGTTTTAGCGCAAAAGTATTAAATATACTGGGAGATAAGCAAATTTTAACCAAATTGCAGTTTAGTTCCGCAAAGTTTCAGATCTGAAATAATTGACTTTTAGCAGATTTTAAGCGTTTTCGAGCGCTCACGATCTTTAACCGACTATTTCTTTGTCATTAAAAATGCATGTAAAAGCAGGCGTTTGATCTACACGATTTGCAGGGCAAAAGTTCCAGCTTCAAGTTAAGAGACAATCACAACCTGCCGTTTAGTAGCACAATCACGAGTAAAGTTTGTACAAAATACGACAAAAAAAACTAGATTTTGAATCGGAAAATCAACCGATTGGCACACATTTAACCCGATATAGCAAAACCAATTTCTCATGATGAAATATCTAGGCGTAATCGTTGCTGGTGCTCCTTTTACCACGGTTCTTTGGGAAGCAACAATGCTTCGCCACAAGTCCACTATAAACAATCTAAAAATTTGTGTTCCAATGTACGATAATCCAGCCCAGTGCTCTACTAAACGAGTTTCTTGCTAATTTGAGCAACATTTCTTCGTGGTCTAATGCGCTTACTTCATCGGTTGGCAAACAATTTGGTTCGCGTCGGTTTCAAGAAAAAAATCCACGGGTTTGTTATGCGTCTTCCAAAAATTGCCAGCAAACTATGCGACGGTGTCTTTGGAAAAGGGAATAATTAAAACAAACACTGATAGTTGAATAGCCTCGTTGCATAACTTCTCTTCATTGTAGCGCAAGTGTGGTTGTTAGGTGTACACTTTATTTGGAATAGTTTGTAATGGTAGTTAACAGCACGCGATGCGCGCTTTCCGTTCTTGTAAACTTGCCAAATCGAGTAAAGGGTAAAGATGAGGATTTTCGACTTTGCCTGAGGAGCAGTCGAATATCAAATGCAAGGACGCATCCGACTAAAATTAATTGTTAAGGTTGCGGGTTTCCCAATAAATTTCAAAATTTGCATTCCTTTCGGAGATATTTCCAATGTCAGCAAGATTTGCCAAAATGTGTGCCAAGTTTAAACCTTAAACGAGTGGAAATGAGCATTTTGCTGGTCGAAAACAGCCGATTTCCCCATCAGGTGTAATTGCTCCTAAACACTTCATTCAAGTTCGAAGCCTGCATTGCTCAATCCCGAGCCCAACCAGGCTGAAGACCTTCGTTTTTGTTAAAATAATCTTTCGCCTCTTGGGCAACGTTTTTAATCATATTTATTCCATCATTAATGCGACATATCTTCAGGCAACCACGTATGAAGAAATACCACTTCTTTTCCAGTCAAGGCAAAGGATGTTGTTAAGTCGTTAATTTGCTAACAAAGCTGATGACTAAATTGCGCTTTGTTCTTCAGTGGAAAACATATTGACAAACAATGTGGCCGACTTTGAAGAATCGGACTTACCCGCATGGTGGTGTTGGGATACTGCGAGACATTCATCCAAAAGGCGCGCTCTTCCAAAAAATACTCTTTAAATTGATCGATGTCCATTTTTCTGGCTGGAGTTGCTTCTTTCGGGATCACAAAAAGAGTCACAGAAAAATCAAGTGTGGTAACAGTCGAAAATCACTCTCACTACTTATCAAAGCTTGCATAAAAACCGACGATTGGTAGTGGTACCTGAATGGTACGGTACTCGAGCGCACGCTAGATCGGTCTCCACCAAAATATTGAAAATTGAAAGTAAGTACTGAATTCTCAGTGCTATTTCACTTCTTAGCTCGACCACTAAAATTCGATCGACGATCGCCAACTTTTCTAAAACCCGATCTGCTTCAGCTTTTTGAACATCTCCCTCCCTATTCGGCTTTTTCAAAATCACCAACCTGCTCATATGGTAGTTTGGCCAATGGTGAGCTACCAGTTTTGGAAGCGTGCAGTGTGACGCACATGTCCTTGGTCGTTGCTCTTTTCTCTTCGATTCCGATGGATTTTTGCCTGGGACAACGGAAAGACATTCTTCGACCGGACTTGATTTCCATAGTCACGCTATCTAAGACAAAGTTCCTTCTTATGACACAGCATTTTTCAGCGCCAGACAACATTTGCATCAAATCAATTGCGTCTCATTTAAATCTAATCTTTGATTCTTCATTATACACGTTGATATATGGCATTCTTGTTTACTTACTTCCTTTTGTGTTGTTCTCTTGAAGATATTTATTCATTTTTCTCAACAAATGCCCTTTCGTCCTTTAGGTCCCGTTTAAGCAATCACGATTCTTAACCGACGACATTTTTCTGATCACGCATCCAAGCACCCTATTTGTTCATTTTTCGCTCGAATTCGCTTCGCTTGCAATGTATTTAATCCTTTTGTACCAAATATGACGCATTTCCGATGCAAAGGGGACAAAACTGCAGTTTTTCTCAACCGGTGGTGTTTTCTTTAAGCTTTACTTCTGCTTTTTCACTTGAACTCGCCCCCGTAGTATAACCGCCCATTAAAACCGAGGCGTGCCGGTTGCCTTGCCATGCGCAAGAGTGAGACCACCACATCGGTCCCCATGGAAACCGCCATATCCTTGTCATGCCTTCTGGTTATACAAGGGTTCAATGAAAACTATTTGTCATAGAAAACTGGAGCCTTACACTAATCTTAGAGAAAATCACTTGAAATGGCATTTTAGGCAATTGTATATACTTTCCTGACTGTGTTTCAATTACAAATCAAATCTATTCCTGGGTTTCAGTCATTTATTGTCTCTATTTATTAATCAAAATACGTTTCGGTGTATTTTTCCACCATCATCAGTTTTTCTGAAATAACAGATAGTTAAAAAAAATGCCAATAATTTAAAAAACCAACCACAGTTCGTCAACAGCCTCATCATATCACATATTAAAATACATCACAATTGCAATACTTTAAAACATTCTAAAATTATATAGGCCTAACAGGTGATTAGTCAGGACAATCAAATTTGGGAAGAGACTAGAATTCTTCGTTCATATACTTAATTATTTTTTTGGCATGCATTTGGAGTATTAATTTTGTCCATTATCGGACACAAAACGAATAAGATACTGTTTATATTGATTTATTTTACTTTCAGCTATTTTTCTTTGCATTCTGAGCATGTTATTTTTGGTTTGCAAAATTCTTCAATATACCGGGTGTTAGTTAATATTTTATGTTTATTTCATTTAATTAATGTATGATATACTGAGCTAATATTCTCGGTATCCGATCTGAAATTCATAGCATAGTTATGTTTTTTAATCTGTATCATTTCATGTACTCTTCTCTTATTATAATTACTCTCGTTAATCAGTATTTGTGTGTTATCAAAATCAAAATTATGCAACCTCTGTTGTGCATGCTGTGCTAATGCTGTAACATTTTCGTTATTTTTTCTTAGGCTCTGCTTATGTTCGTATATTCTTTTCTTTAGATATTGTCCTGTTTGACCTATGTATGTGTTATCACAATTCAAACAGTCTATTTT